GCCTCTTACTTTGATACCAAATCTCGAAGCAATCTGTCCAGTAGTCTCGATAAAAGAAAAGAATTAATGTTAACTAAAATAAAAAATACCCATAAAATCCGTGTTTTAGGTTCATGTACGCCAATTAAGGTATTGAAAATAAGTAAGATTTTGACCGAAGGTTTATGGAGATATACTAGTCGAGACAAAAAAAACTGCTTGTGTTCCTTTATTTTTTAAATAGTTTTAAAAGGAAACATTGACCTTTGAGAAAGCAGTTGAGCCTTAAACTAAATATTATGGTATCAGTAAATTACGCATCTAAAAAAAGCTTAATGAGTGCCACAAAATTAGTATTTTGCAATTTTGCGGTATCTCTTCCCAATATATATATGAAATGTTAGAAAGAACATTAATCTTATACCATTAATAAATGTTACAGTTTGATCGCATTGTGTGTGTATGTGTTTGGAGAAAAAACAACTATAAATAAATTTACAGTAATCAAACCGATTACTTTCGCTTTGGTCAAAAATATGAATACTTTGTGACATTTCCATATTTGTCGTTTATTTTAAAAATTATATTCTACATTATTTTTTATTATACTTATTCATTTATAAGAAAAAACGAAATGAAACTATGCTTTGTTTCCTTGTTATAATCGTTCCGAAAACTCTAACAAGAGAGGACTCGGAAGAAGTCTCGCGAAGATGAGAACGGGGGCATTAGCCGCTGAATGGATTCGACACTCTTCTGTGTTTAGACGCCGCGAAGGAGCGAGTGGAAAAGTTCCCAATGAACGCCCCCGCGTATTTTCCATATTTTAGGAAAAACTATTCACAAAGATTGAAACATGGAAAAATCCTGTACATATGTAAGTTACTAAACATACGCATAAAAAACATAAACAATACCTATTTTAGAAAATAAGTGTAAAGAAAAAAAAGAGCTTGTTATGAGATCTCCTTTTGAACTGAATTATGGTGATTCTCCTCATTCCACACATTTCATTTCCAATCGAAATGTTATTTACGCATTTTTTTTTTAACAAAGTTTATTTCTAAACATTAAATATATTTCCATAATCTTCAAAAATTAAATTAAAATTATTTCAGATGATATTGGAACTGCAGAATTTATAAAAAGTTAAACTTTTTGTTCAAAGCCTCATAAAAAAATAAAATACTACTTAATAGTATTGATTTAGTCTATTTCTAGTTCAAGAATGTTGTCTACATCTGTTTTGCGTGTTTTGCACGTTTTTGTGAGAGTAAATTAGATTCAGCATGTATGCCAGATTGCCGATGAGTAACGTTCGGGTAAAGTCGGCTGGAATCGACTAATTGAAGTGTTTTTTCAAACGGATTAAAATATTTTAAAAACTGAAAATCGGACCTCCATATTGTTAGCGAGAGAAATATTCATCATTTCATCTACTTTGTAATGAGCTGTTATTCAAAATGATACCTTAACGCGACGCTGTGAATAGGTGATATGGGAAAAAATAGTATCGAAAACCAAATGAATACGAGTTTTATTGAAGATATGGATTAAAATATCTCAGAAACTAAAAATCGGACCTACATACTGTAAGCGAGGGAAATGTTCAGCATTTCATCCACTTTATAATGAGCTGTTGTTTATAATTTATATTTCATATTATTAATCGTACTTTTTTGATGTTTTCACTATTGTGTGGTCTAAAGCACACACCTTAGATTTTTTTATTTTTGAAAATATATGATTAGCCGAAATTAGACGAAAATTGTATTCCAAAAAATATTTTTGTTTTTTTATTTACTATAAACAAAAATATATTTTGATATTAATACTAACAGTTATTGTTAAGCACTGTATTCAATATATTTGCCTGAGTAGATAAAATGAGAAATATATTCAATTTTATTTGAACTCTAAATTCTTTACTATTGTAATTTATTTTTCATTGTTGATAGATTTGTCATTATTTTTATTTTATTTATTATTGATTTTTTTTTTATATCAATTTACATGTATATGATTACTATAATTTACTTTGTACATCAAACTGATAGTTGAAGATACTTCGTTATTGAAGTTCAGTTATTGAAAAGTTTTTAAGTGAGAGAAATGTACTGATAAATATTAATGGGAAATTCACAAGGTTAGTGCGACCATTTGACTGTTTAAAATGTGCTCACGGGTCATTGTTTGCAAATTGTTCTCACCAACTTTCCAGCTTGATTTCATTTCTCTCGAGTACGATAGTGCCATTTTTAATTTTTTATTTCGCATATTTTTAGTCAGTTTTCATGTATAGTCGGGTAAAATTTAAAATATTGTATGATGGTCCGTAGTAATTTTGAATGGCAAAAAGAAATCAAATGTTTGCGTTTTTTGTACCAAAATTAGTTATATAAACCATAATAATCTGTTAGTCATAACTAATTTTTAAATTATGTTATGATATAATGTGAAGTTGTTTTAAGCATCAACTTTTTCTTGCCAGAACAATCATATTTTTTTATTTTAGATTTAAAAAGATTTTCTGAGTTCATATTTTGACAAAAATAGAATTAATACGAAAATAAACGAATTTTTTATTACTTATAGAGTGGGGATTTTATATAAGTATTTTATCAAACAAAGGCAACTTACAGACATTGCTACATATGCTATGTTAGTGTGTTCTTCGTGTATGACAGCTTCAAGCGTACGTCGAGACAGGAGGAAATACAGATTTCCATAGTCATTTCCTGTCCCACGATCTGTCCTTTTGTTCCTGAATGTGATGGTTATTAGAAGACGGGTCATTATCTAGAATTTCTCCGCAAGATGGAAATTTATACTTCGTATAGCGATTTGGCCTGTGGGAAAGGAGCCTTTTCCATTGGTAATCATTTCTCAAAACAGCTGTCCGCAGCTATATTATATTGGATGAGATATTTGCTGTTGTAAGAGCTCCTCTCTAATTATTTATTCATCCTCCTTCAAAATTCCCATTTTGATATCGATCGTTTTATAATATTCATTAAATTAATTAAAATAGAAAACTTGATATAAACCGATTTGATTAAATGCATGATTTTTCGAATCACAGTTTTCTCAAAAATACGGAGAAGAAATAAAATGAAGAACATATAGCTCGGACAAAGAAGGTCAAAAATTTTTGGTATTATGTTTATTTATTGTTAAACATATAACATATTAAAAGTTGTATACAACATATTTAAAAACTTTAGTGGACGGGGATACAGTTAGATTCGCACTTTTTTTCCTCCTTACATATCTCGGGAACTATCAACTTTATCAAAAGGTACCTCTATACAAAATTAAAGGTCACAAAATTCCTTAAGAAAAGTTCTATTACTTTTTCCATAGGGTCAATAAGGAGATTGATCGCAGAGATATAAGTTGAATTTATCTTAAATTTCGTTCTATGTTTTATCCTAATGTTATCTCCGAATTTCTCTTAGCTTCTAGACCTTATGAAAAAATTAATATGACATTTCTTAAAGTAAATTTTGTGTACTTCATTTTTTAACATAATATACATTTTGATACGGTTGATAGTTCTCGAGATATTTATGAAAAAAAAAAAAAAAAGTGATTTTCAGATTGCTCAATCATTTGTCAATATCCCACGTTAAGAAGGTAAAAACTGTTTGTAAGGCTTCTACAAAATTATGAGTGGTTAAAAGACCATGTGGAAGATTCATATGGAATATATAGGAGAGAATATAGAGTGTAAAGTAAATATCTAATTAATTGGATTACTGTGAATTGAAAAACAATAGCGTAGGAAAAATGGATATATTTATTTATTATTGAGTTATTTTTTGGTGTCATGTGCAACTGCTAAGGTTAGCGAAGCATCTTATTCAATTTAATTTTCAATATTACATTACAATAAACATACGTCTATAAACAATATGTTGTTACAACTGAATAGGTTAATTCTGATGTGCATATGGTAAGTGTGTTTATAAGGGATGTGTTGTTTAAATATGTCTGTAGCAATTGTGTTTTTTCAGAAATAGGAACAATTTTTTTAAGTTTTCAGATTGTAGAGCTTGTCGATATCCCCGGAGACGATACAAGGTCCTTGATTTATCCAAGGTCGGACAATATACTAAAATATGTTCAGTGATTAAAACTATATTGACATCTTGATAGCAATTCCCATCGAGGAGGTGACCATGAGTATGCCTCGGGTGCCCTATTCTTAAGCTTATTGAAACAGTTTTCTTCCTGCGATTTCCTTTAATCTGTGGGAGTTGACTAGTGTCGTCGTAGATTTTCTTCATTTTATTGCTACTTGGAACCTTGGTCCAAGAGTAACGCCAAGCTTCTTAACATAGCTTCCATGAAATAAGAAACATGCTTCTTTTGCAGCAGTATCAGCAAGTTTATTACCCGTTATACCTATAAGAATTGGAATCCAGATAAATTTAATATTGTTGTTAGTCTGCGTAATAAGTTGTGTGATAAAGAACACTAAAGGGTTTCTGCAGAATCGGAAATTTTGTATTAGCTTGAGGGCTGAGTAAGATTCGCTCAGAATTAGAATGCTATTAGGAATTGAAAATAGAATTAGAAGTATTATTAATTTCATCATTGAAGATTATGGTTAGGGATGAAGAGATGGCAAATAGCTCGGAGGAGAATTTGGAATAAGTCGAAGGGAGAGAGTATCGAGACTATCTAACACCCCACATTTTCTGATGTGGATGATTTAGAAATGGATTTAAATTAGGCAAAAAAAAATCTATAAATCATATATAAAATTTAAATTGAAAAATATTTTTCAATTTTAATGAAAAATAAGAAATAAAAATAATTATACAATGAATATGGAGAATTACGGTCAGATATACTCATAACCATTATTTATTTTTCAAAGAATGGATCTATTTATTTTACAAATTTTATTAGAGCTATTTCTCTCAAGTAGCTGATTTTACATACTCAGAGAATAATTATTGAACCCTTTTCTCTTTTAAAGAATTTTCTTGTGACATAATATTGTAAAACCACTCTTACAGTTCTACATCGTTCCCAGTTTCTTCCCAGAAATTCTCGCTGAATAGGTTCTCCAGATCGAATAACAAGACTAATAAGGACTGAAGGGACATCTCCGTTGTCAGCAAAGAGGGGTAGCTCGAGGACAATAACCATTGTGTGAGGGCTGGGGGATGATTTCTGGTTGGCGGAACTGTGTGGGGTGAGTCCAAATCTGATAAAGAATGATGTAGACCGATTCCAGGTTTAGGAACACGAGGCGTCTTATACTTCGGGAACAAACTATCTGGGAAAAGAAAAGGGAAAAAAATAACTCTATTGTTTGAGAGGCCAACTTGAATAGAACATTTACATATCTCTTATCGCAGGATCTGTAGACGAGAGCCGCTCGGCTTAACTATTGGTTGGACATGGTAAATATCTCGTCGGTCAATTTGGAAGGCATTGTTCGGAAGTGGTCTGCCTCTTTGGGATGAAGCCATTTGCATAGGAAATTTTATTTTATTCAAATAGCTTGAAATAATGGTCAACGATTGATATTCTTTATTCAATGTCTTAAAATTCATGAGTATAATAAAAAAAAAAAGTGACTGGTTTAATGATCACATGTCATGATATCAAAGCATTAAAGCGATGGATCGATTACGCAAGTGCGGCTGAAGATTTTTTTGACCAGAGTTCACTCACCTCAGAAAATCATAAATGTTAGCTAATTTCCGGCAACAGTTGTTGTTTGATTGTGACTTGATCCGCAGCCTTAAATCAATAATGTGAAAAAGAGGGCCATCTCCTAAGTGAATATAAATTGTCTACTATGTCAGTACTCTAATGAGATAATAAATATAACATTATAATTGTCCTCAGCAATCATTGCTTGCGTGTATCCTTTTTGCACTATTGTATTGTTAGCTTAATTTTCTACTCACCTAATTATTTTAGTAAATACATGGAATGAATAAATATGTTATATAAATAATATATAAGCAACATTAGTACGCACATATTCGTCGTATTGTTACCAACGCTTTCGACAGACAAGTTAGTCTCGTATTATCGACAGAAAGGAAGAAAAAAAAATGTTCAAATACCTTTTGGATTGGATGGTTATGGTATAAAAAACCCTCCTATTATAGCAGTCGTACATACCTAAACAAGAAAAAAATAATATTGATTTATATAATAAAATTTAATAATAACATAAATAATCTAGCTATATACACAGGGTTGGAACTAGGATTTTTCAGACACACAATTCAGATAACAGTTTACAAAGTATTTTCATTGAACTGTGTAAGATTGGTATATCAACTCAGTTTAGTCAGTCTATGTCACATTGATGGTGGAGACGGAATGTTTAAGGTTATCATTAGTGCAATTTTTGTTTTAGTCCGGATGATGGCCTGAGTAATCGTATTAATGTCCTTAGTAATTGAATGGTATTTGAGGAACCTGGGTTATCTTTTATGGTTTGTATTATAGACCATTTATAACATAATATAGGTTTTACAAACTATTTTTCAAAACTAGAAGCAGTTTGTAGTACAGTTTGTAGAAGCAGCTTTGGACCATACTTCGTAGGTGGTTGTAAAACATTGTGTTGTATATCTGTGCTTAAGGCGAAGAAAAACAGTTTACTGGGGATTCTGGAAACCGCCAAGACGATTTAGCTTACAGACCATCATGGCCATGATGGATTGACACCCAAATTAGCAAGCTCTGGAAGCCCTATTTAAAATATTACTTCAGTTGTTTCAATTGGATGTTAACGTGCATCGTTTAGGATATGAGAGTGTATATGAGTATATTGGAAATGTCGGTGATAGAAAACATAAATTTTCAATGTTAATTTAACATTGCTGAGCAGTTGTCAGTTAACATTTCTGTTGTTGCAATTAGTTAAGACATTGTCTTGTTTCTTTCCTTTAGGAACACTGTTAAAGCGGCACTGTTTGTCCAACTATAGCCATCTATAAGTTTTTGTGTAAAAGATCTACAACTCTTGTTTCCTGGTAGGATGGCATTATTAGGATAATCTAAGGTACAAGATAATGTAAATGCAACATAACGTATTGGAATCACTAATAAGTTTATACAATTCTGTTTATGATCCAAATCAATACATGTTTCCTCCTTTCTTCTCTGCACTTTCTTCTTGCAACTATCCTATACCTCCGGCCTCAAAGGACTGCTAACGTTGTTGTACCCAACCCAGGATGATTGAGGACAAAGCGGTGCCACCTGAACTGCAGCGGGAGTGGCTACACTAGCCTTGGAGTGGGCGGACCGTGGGCGGGTGTCCTGGACTTCTTTTATTGCCCGCGCCTCCTCCTGCTGCCCAATTAACTCCTGATCCTTCCACCGCGCTCCGGCAGTTAGCTCGTGATAAATTGTGAGTGTGGCTGGCAATAAACGATCCTCTTCCGCTCCTTCTGGAATTCACTCCTGTTTGTTCTCTCTCTCTTGTTCTTCTACGGGTATATTTGTACCTCAGCAATCACTGGAATTATCTCGGTAATATTTAATATTTTACATCTGGTGAAACAACGACGCAACCGTAAAACTTTGGGAAAATGTCCCATCTTCTTAAATAGTCAGAAAAAAAGTCTATAATCTTAAATAATCTCATTGCTAGAGTCACAACATAATGGATCGTAGTTTCTCTTGGAAATATTTTTACATTTAAATGAAACAATATCTTTTAAAGTCTTTTCGAAAAATAAATTTAATATTTATCCAGAAAAGGACAGATGAAATGGATGATTAAAAAAAAAATATATCAATTACAGCCCTGAACGAATTGTAAGCGTCCGAAGTATATCGATGATAATGTTTGTTTAAAGCAGAGATTGTTTGAGGTAACCTAATCAAATATTTGGTTTATTTTTTTAAATTATTATTATTATCAAACAAATTCTCTGCATTAAGAGAAAAAGCTGATCTGCCTTGCCTCTCACTTAAAAACCGTCCTCATGCTGTTTCATTGTAGTAACTATAAAGGGTGTTTCAGAAGTACAAAGTCACAAAAAGCAGAAAAAATGTTTAATTGAATCGAATCGTAGTTTAACATAGGCTAGATTTTAATGGATTAAACCATTTTACACTGATAGAATCAATTTTAAAAATAAAAATTATGTTTTATATATTAATTCTAAATATTTCGCCTCTCCTAATATAACATGATTATTTATTAATCATCCTATATATAATTTCTAAAAGGTGTTTTTTTGTCGGTATGCCATAACTTCGTCAATTCTTCATCAAATCCAATGATTGACCACTCATTTTGAAGATATTCTGCTCCTTCACATGCGAAAAATAGTCCAATCTCCCCGAAATTTCTGAAAAAAAGTTATGGAGGAAAAGAAACTTTATTTGCGAATAACTCAAAAAGTATGCATTTTTTCTGATTGTACCCATGATAATTAGAAAATTACTAAATTACCTACAAAATTAAAAAAAATCGGACAATTATTAACAAAGATACAGATATTGCATTTAGGAGTAGAATAGTCTACTACATTTTTTTTTCTGGCTTTTATATTAACTTTATTATTTCTTAAAGACATTTGTTTGTTCTTACATTTTATTTTTTTTTAATAATTTAGAATATCCTGTGATCGGGGCATTATTTTGTCTTTATTACTTTTATTATCTTTCCAGTCAGCGTTTAAAAATAGGTCCTAGCAAAGCAATTTGTACAAATATTTTGGTCTATTATGTTTAATGGAATATTGTAATCGACTAAGGAAAAAATATTAATTCCTTCCTTACATAATACATAGAACTACTTATTTCCATATTGTTTTGCTATTTCTTCACTAAACAAAATTTTCTGCGAATTTTTCGCACGGACCAACTAGTATTAATTATTTATTACATAACTTGAATGATTACATGGTACGGAAAAGACGGTTTGGCCAGCCTTGCTTGAGTGTAAGCAGTTAATATTTTAATTCATTCTCCGATTATTCAAAACTTGGATGGGTGACTTGTCAACAATGGATCTCCGATAATTAAACTAGCTTTCGTTAATCGATTTTATCACTATATTTGTTTTGTATAGGTAATTCATATAGTTATCTTCGTTAAGATTCGCAGATCCCAATAAATGTTCCAATAAATGTAGTTTCCTGTTTATAAAGAACCCATGGGTTCCAAAATAAAAGGAACTGTTTCTCTTAAAAGTTAAGACCTATTTAGAAGAACTTATCTCAAAAAGTCATTACTTAAAATACGGGGATGCTTCACAAGTTCTCTCTCTTTGACTCCTAAACGTGCAGTCAACTTTTGATATTTCAATTAACATCTAGCATTATATTTGTATATGTTTTGTTTTTTTTATTAATGCTACATATATGCTTCTGTGGCCATCAATGGTTCTCAAGTTCACTATGGATCAAGGGGTTGTTATCTAATTCATCCCCCAGCACAAGAGGGCACTAAGGGTCGATAAGCTGTTTACCTAGCGAAGGTGTGGTATCGACTTGACTCTACTGTCCATTGCTGGAGTCACAACATAATGAATCGTACTTTATCTTGGAAATATTTTTACATTTAAATGAAACAATATCTTTTAAAGCCTTTTCGAAAAATAAATTTAATATTTATCCAGAAAAGGACAGATGAAATGGATGATTAAAAAAAAAATATATCAATTACAGCCCTGAACGAATTGTAAGCGTCCGAAGTATATCGATGATAATGTTTGTTTTAGGCAGAGATTGTTTGTGGTAACCTAACCAAATATTTGGTTTATTTTTTTTAAATTATTATTATTATTAAACAAATTCTCTATAGCAATATTCATTAAATTAATTTATAATTTTATTCAACTAGAAAGTTAATAAAAAATGAACAAAAAATTCTTAATTAGGTTTTTAATTTAATTTGTATAAGTTAATTCTTTTTAAAAATAATGAATATGTATTCATAATTATTTTTTTATATAATACAATTGGTGTATTTTAAGATCACTAATTGTGTTCATGTTTTTTATCCGACTCCTTAATTAACTTCGACACCAATCGACCACTAATTAGTTGTAATAAATATTTGTATCATTAAACAGTTAATAATTTGTCAATGAAAACATTTATATAAATATGACTGATTATTTATATAATCGATTAATTATCATTACAGCGGAGAGTTAGTTATGTTCCAGCGCTGAATGAACAGCCCACTGGCCAGTTATATACTCACTCACCAGAAGGTGCAAAGCAAGCCGTTTTTATCTCAAGGGTTATTGCAATACTCTCATTACTGGACCCGTTATCTCGTTAAATTACTTATTACATTTTCTAAAGCCATAAAAAAAATTAATTATATTATAAAAAAAATGAATTATAAAGGAATCTTTCAAAATCATTATAATTCAAACAGATACATCTCGGTTGGCATGGCATTTTTTCTGAAGTATTAACTTCGTTCTCTGTAATTAGTAACGAAATAAAACATAAAAATTATTCTTCAGATGATAAAAGTTAAGTATCTTTTTAAATAATCTGTTACTACCATATTCTGAACACTTCGTAATATACTATTTAAAAAAATTCATTAATTTATCTGCTTTCACGACGTTTCATCATTGGACCTGAAATAATACCACAGCCACTTTTGTTTGTTCAGGTGGTACTCTGCCGTCAACCGATTGCTTGTTGGTGAAACATAGTTTCAAAACTAGATTCAGGGCTGTTGTCATAATTTTTTATTTTATTCAGTATTAAGTCATAAGTCAGTCTGAAGGGCAGTCATAATTAATAATGATACTAGCGAAAAAAAAAATAAATAATATAGAAACTGACTACTTTCATTTATATTGTCCTTAATTTTTTTTTATAATCGACATATATCTATTTTGTCACATTACTGGATTAAATTTAAATTTATACTCATTACATTATAATCGTACTTTCGATAGATTTTTTGTAATTAATTTATGATGATAAATGTAAATAAAATTTTACTCGTCATTAAACTTCAAATTAACAGTAGCAGTTCAGTTTCAAATTGTATTGATACATATAAATAAATACTACTATATACAATTTTTTTTTAATCTTATTTATTGAAAAATATTACAATCTGTCTCAAGGACATTTATAATAGTGTTCACAGATCACATTCACACTCTATGTACAGTAAATAAAATAAAACTATATACAATAGTAACATTTAAAAAAGACTGCGTCCTGAATATTTATCACCTATGATATAGTAATACTAATATTTCAATAATATTCAATTCTGTCTCAATTAAGGACAATTATAATATAGGACAAACAGCACATTCACACCATATTTACAGAAACATTATTAAATAAATTAATTATTAGCAATATAAAACATAAAAATAAATACAAATTAAAATGACATAAAGAATAAAAAATTAAACCCAAAAGGTAAAAGGAACGTCTTAAAGAAAATTGATGAAGTAACTGATTATTCGTTTTTTTTTAAAATATATTTATATTAACTGGGAAACGTACATTAGAATATTATTTTTCGTGCTCAAACACATTTTTTATGTTAATTATTAGTCTTAATCATATTTATGAATTAAAATAAATAATAAAACAAGAGTTATTTTTAATAAATTTAATTCACAGAAACAGGATTCACAAGTCTTTAGAATAAGTTATTTATTTGCCGTATTATAATAAATAAAATGAAGACAAATATAATAAAACTAAAATGCAAAGAGAACCTTTCAATATTAAAATTAATTATTATCTTTACTATCTTTTATTTCTTTATTTTTTGTAATACATATATTCCAATAATATGGAAAATAAATTTGGATTTCATGTCATACTGGATATTATTCTCATTATCTTCGAAATATTTTTTACGTTTTAATATTTTGTTTTAGAACTGTTAACAACGATTTTCATTACCATCGTTTATCGAGATTAAAAATTACAAAAACATTATTTTCTAGTAAAAAAAAAAATTTGATTTATTAACTTATAATCAATGTTTCTTGAAGACATGATTAGAAACGTTTTTCTACCCCTTGACATATTTAAATTTTATTTTTTTTAATATTGTTCAATTTTTAAATTTTTTTACCAAAATATATAGAAATAAATTTACATAAAAAAACCAAAGATATTTTATAAATAAGTTATTGCAGCCTGCGTCCAAATGTTATTTTCTTTTTTTTTTACTGGAAACTATAAAATTTTCACTTGCATCCCTGAAGTTCTTAATTATTTTAAGTCATTTAATGACTTTTGCACCAAATTGATGTTATGTAAAATTAACTCCTGTTAATTCATATATTAATTGATATATATTGGTGTATTAACTAAGTGCAAAGATCGAATATTTTCATTTAAAAAATATATATTTTAATAAATAGGGATTAACACAAGACAAGTCTAGTAGATAAAATAGAACTGATAATCAACAACAATCTATTTTCAATTAAACTATTTGGCTATTGTTATGTTGAACAAGTTATTTTCATCATATTTTTTTTTTTATCAAACATAACTCTGAAGTTTGCTATTGAATTTTTATAAAACTATTTTAATGAAGATAATTGTTATTATCTAATAATATACCTTGTCACTCATAAACTTTATATTCAATTTCATTATGGATTTTCATTTTTATCGAAGAATCGTTGCAGGAGATGCACTTCCGCAAGAAGTCAACCTCTTGGTGGAATACTGATATACGGCTGAAGATAAGATAAGAAAATAAATTGTTACTCTTATTTTCTTTGAAGCGATAACGAGTTGAATAATGGATATTTATGAGCGTCCTCGGCTGAGATTATTTCGAATTTAATTAATTTTGTTACCAGCTTTTTGACATGATATAAATTACATATATTTTTTTTTATGTACCTGATATTTTTTTATGTATTGATTTTAATCAGTAATGAACACACAAAACATTCCCAAACCTTCATTAAGTCTATGATAAATAGTGTTGCCCAAAATCGGTCTTGGTCTTGCACTTTGCAAGACCAAGACCAAGGCCGCCTAACTCTTGCAAGACCAAGACCAGGACTGGTAAAAAAAATCGATGTTTTTAATAAAAAATGAAGGCAAAATAGTTACTAATACTCGACAATCTTAGTTACTATATGTAAATAATTGGTATAACCAATATAGTTTTGCATTTAATTCCTCTAATTTTTCATTCAGGCTTAGTTAGGTTTCTCCTATCTACAAAATATAGTACTGTAAGAATGTTGCGAGACTCTTGTGCAAGACCAAGACTATGACCAAACTGAGTTTGCAAGAGTCTCGCATTTGGGCAACACTAATGATAAATCATTTAAACATAAATAATCCTAATGTTCCTAGGAGACAGGAAAGAAATATTTTATATATATGTTTTATAGCCTTTTCTCTGCATTAGTTTCTGGTTTATAATGTATCAATTTATTTTTTTTATGTGAAAAATATTATTTTATTAAATGAATGAACATATTGCATTTTAAAAAGCATGAAACGCTTCCAGTAAAATAGCCTGGTAAATTTTTACCATTAAAAACCAATTCAGATTCGTCGCTCACTCCCTAAGCAAACATTTATTTTATAACACGTTACTGTATTAAAATGAAAAAATTTTTTTTTTTTACTTCATGACTGCTCAGGGTTTTCAGCAAATTCAACGTTGCTGCTACCTCTGAATTATTGTTCTTTCAAATTATATTAATATCTAATAAATTTACCTCTTTATAAGCTAGAATTAAATAAATAAATATTTTATTTGTCATATTTGGTTCTAAGTTGTTCGCGGATTTCAATTTTGTGTCGTTACGTGTAGTCCATAAGGCTCTGAATCCCTGGCATGTTTCGGGTTGATCAGTAGAGTCGTCCAGAAGTTAAGAGAGTTTTGTGGTTGTTGAAAAAATCGTAGGTTCCAACACAGGCACAAAACATTTGTTCAAAAATGTCTGTTCTTTGATTGTTATAAAAGTTGCTATTTATATTTCATGTTTTATGTGTCAACCTTAACTTGTCATAACTTCAAAAGGACTCTTTTGATTCACACGAAATCGTCCAGGATGTTAGGATCTTCAAAATGGCAGAAACCCGTACTCCGTAAATTAACTAGAATTAGAATAAAGAAAGTAAATCTCCAAAAAAAGAGCTTTTAGTTTATATCTCCAATTCTAATTGGTTTACGTATGTGTGTTTTGTGTTATTTAGTGAAGTGCATTTTTCCTAAACATACCGTAATTTTTCTGTGGTTAGGTGGAGCCACCTTTTTTTCCATTCGAAAAATAAACCGGAAATTTTGATCAAGTGAAGAAAAAATAACGAAGGCTTAGTTAAAGTAATATTTCAAATCTGTTTAAAAAAAAAAAACTAAGGTATCCACACGATAGAAGTGAAAACACCAACAAGGCGAGATTAATAATAGCAAATATAAATGATAAATAATAGCTCATTACAAATAGGTTGAAATGATGAACATTTCCCTTGCTTACAGTGCGCAGGTCCGATTTTTTAGTTTCTGAGATATTTTAATCCATATCTTCAATTAAGCTTGTTATTTAGTTTTCGACACTTATTTATTTCTTTAATAACGGCGTCGCGTTGACATACAATTTTGAATAATAGTTCATTAGAAAGAGGTTGAAATGATGAACATATCCCTTGCTTACAGTACGCAGGGCCGATTTATAGTTTTTGATATATTTTAATCCATCTGCAAAAATAATTCAATTAATCGACTACAGCCGATTTTACCGGAGCGTTACATATAGGAATCTGACGGCTCAATCTTATTCATTCTCCTCGAAAAAGTGAAAAACGCGCCTAAAGAAGTTTTCACTAAAAAAATGAACCTTATTGTACTAGTAGTACTCTGTCTTAATTTCAATTTGTAATTTTCACCAAGTTTTTAACATACAGCTGTTTCCATCATTGGAATAAATAAGTTATTTTAAATTTTCTTGGTAATTTAACCTTCTGATTCCCTTGTTCGTTAACGGTAGTAATACCCTTGATGAATTGATTTAACTCACTCCTGAGGAGATCCCGAGTCCCTCTCGACTCCAGAGTGATCGGGCCGAGTTTCCACGAGAGGTTTCCAAGTGAAAAGCCTCCGGAGCTAGCGGTAACGTAACGGTGAACCCCGACCGTTCGCTATACCGCTACCCACCCAAGTTGGACCTCCTTCTCTTCGGCACTGGCAGCCAGTGGCTCCATTTCAATGGATTTAACCCAAGAGGTTCGATGAGATCGATTGTATCGAATAAATTGGAAATATATAGTTGGACTTGTACGTGTGAATTAATTCAATACATTAAAATAACAGATCGATAAATATTGGATATTCCACATCCAGGATTGGAGGTAGTCATGATTGAAGCTAAACAAACATTTTTTATTTTTATTTATATGCTATTTACAGCTGTATAAAAAAAAAAAAAACATCTAATAATTTCGCACCTTGATATAATGACATAAAACATATGTTGAGAAACTACTCATTGGTAGCACTCTAATAATATGTCTATATTAGGAGATCACGTGGCCATCTTCTTTTCAGACGCCTCGGAGGGTTATCAGGAATTGAATAGGAAGTAAGGTTAGAAACAAGAGGGTTGGGATGGTTA